TCTTAAGCGTTTTTCGGGTTGAAACCCATATTTCTTTTTTTTTCTTGCGCACTACCCTGCATGCACTAGCGGCTTACAAAAAAGTAGTCAGGCCAAAAAAGGCCGTATTTTGCCCCTTTCCATGAGGGTGGGGGTGGGGGCACGAAACGAAACATACCAAAAAAAGACAAGAATTATCCCGAACCCTAAACCCAAGGTTACCTCTACTGAACGATCCATTCCGCGTCCTCCCATATAAAAACCAACATAGTAGTGAACCCACACTAAATTCAAGATATTTTCGAGGCCCACACTAAATTCAAGATATTTTCGAGGCCCACACTAAAACCAAGACACATGGGGGCCCCACACTAAAATCAAGTTACTTGCGGGGCAAAAGCCGACAGGCGTCGGGTCCTAACCCTACCCCCCCCTTGTACTCAACGACCCATGTTGCGTCCGCCCAATGTTTTCTGGGGTAATCACTACCAACGCCGTACCGCTCGGCGAGGGGGCCTAGAAAGCCCTTGGGTACCCTTTCTTTGCCCGGCGGAATCGCCAACGCTATCTCCACCGCCATGGCGTACCGACGACCCAACGATACTTCCGCACCCCGCTTACGACGTGGGGGTGTCTGGGCGTCGTCCCCCATGATAGCTACGTCGTTGTGGTGGTAGTGGGTGCTCACACAGCACAAAGCTGCAAATATTCTTTAAAATATTCTCAAAATGTTTTCAAAATATTCCCAAAATATTCGCAAAATAGTCCCGTATTTGACACACTTATTCTCGGTAATTGTGAGTCGGATTTTTTTTTTTTGTAAGTTATGTGCGTAACAAGCGCTTTCCAACAAACCTAACTAGAGCTTCAGGAACACCTTGGCTGGTGAGGTATGTAAATTCCCCCATAACGGACTTTACTTATGTGACAGAGGAAGTATACCGTTCCTGCAGCAAGTGCCCCGCAACCTTGAGGTGTGCTGCCAGACCCCTAATGCAACGTCTTGTAAGACTTGCTAGTACTGTACAGCGAAGAGCATCCACCTTGAGAGGGAGCAGGTCCGTCCTGTCGTGCGATCCGCCCTCAGGAAATATCTGCGCAAATGGAAAAAAGGAAAATGAGGAGCAGGGCCGACCCTTAGCCTAGCCACGCAAAGTTGACGCAATCAAAGTGCTGGCTTCACCGAGAGTTGGTGCCTTTTCAGTTTCTGGGTATGCACTGTTCGAGCGCGAAGACATGCACGCGTTGATCACACTGATGTACATTTCCGGGTCTCCATCATCGTTAATCATGTGTGTACCCCACCTTCCGAGTTTCCGTATGCCGTGTGACGATCCAGGCATACATTTAATTTGGCTCTTCGATGGTTGTGGCTTTGATGTTGCCATATAGCAATAGTGGTGACTCCATAAACGGAGTTCAACAATTGCAGTAGAGACAGCGACTCTCGAGTTCAAACACCAAACACAATACGCGAAAGACCAAAGACAGCGTACTCACTCCGAGGCATTTGCCGTGTGCCAACGCTGTGTGTACCCTGCCGAACACCTTGCCCTGATCGACGTACTTGAGGACATCGAACGCACTCGGTCCCATCTGCCAACGTGAAACGGAGTCGGTACGAGGACGGACACAGCCTCGAAACCGTTTGACAGCGACATGAAAAGTGTTTTCATGCCCGAGCAAACGTTCACGACAATGGTGCATGCGCGCGAGAATTGATGACAGAAGATAAATTGTACGATCATGTCACTTTTTGTCTCCCGGCTGCGTCTAGCCGCCAATGCATACGTGCATAATACGAGAGTCTCGCAAATGCATTGATTGTTGGACTCGTTCACGCCGTACCATGACGTCATCGGGGGACTATCATGCCAGGTGCGGGGGCTGAAGCGCAGCGTTTTGCTGGATACTCCATGATGCCTCGGATAACTTCGCCACGGTGAGAGTCCTCAATAGCAAGGCAAACAGATCCTCGGGCAACGCGAGAGTACTCACCCCAATGTAGTCTTGTGGCACAGCCTCCCCGAGCTTTATCGACGTGTCACTCACAACGGCCTCCACCTGAGGAGAATTTTCATTCGAACGCGAGCGAGGTGACTACAAGACATGTGGAAACAGCAACCTCTCGTACGGAAGCGCACAAAGAGTGGAGGTGATCGCCGGTTTGCCATCCCTTTCGGACGCCAAGACTCACGATTTTGCCTGTGCGCGACATCGGACAATCGGACAGTAGCGTTGTCATGCTGTCATGCTTGCTTCACAACCGAGACTGCGTTCCCAAGTGGGCGCACGGCCTGACCCTACCTTGAACTGCTCCGACTTCCCACGAAAGCGGAGCTTGTCCCTGTCCTTGAAAAGCTCCGTGAACTTGGTGTTAATCCCAGTGATCATGTCACCGTTGGCGACGATGGTCTCAGTAGCAGGACGCTTGATGGCCGAGTCCTACGATTAGAATGCGGGACGCGACATGACATGACATGACATGCTGTTGGCATAGCAACCAAGTGCAGAAAGCACACTAGCACGGCATCGCCGGGGAGTGTTTGGAGGCAGGCAGGCGTTCGTCGAACTTTCTTCCAGACGGACGTACTGCAGACAAACGTGGCGTAGCGCGAAAACGAACCACCCTTATCCGCCCCAAGACCAAGCAAATCAACGCCGATCAAATCAACGCCGATCCCGGCATACAAGACGACGGGTACACGCAAAAATGGGAAGAATTCGTATTCTACCAGATATGAAGAGCAAGTCTTATGTACCTGGGGGCGAACGACGGGGATGCACGACATGGCCCGTGCGAAGAACCCGGGTACCTTGCGGTCCCAACTCTTTTTGGCGATCAACCAGCCGACTTTGTGGCCACACGCCGTGATGACCTAATGAACAGAAACGAAACACGCAGCTGAAGCGTGAGGTTTGGTTGCCCCATCGCTTGCACATCACACAACAAGCGCGGGTTTGCCACGCTGGGCTTGCCCTAAAATCTCTTCTGCCGCTGTGTGGGCACGGTGTGGGGGTATGTACCAAAATGATTCATGATCTTAACATCCTACGTTCACAAGACAGCAGTATCCGAGCAATGCCAACTTCGCCGTCAAAATCACGCACTTTTTACTTCATCCAAAGGACACGGTATTGACCACATTTCGCGGTTCCCGAGACAAAATCAATAGCAAGAGCTCGAGCTGACCTGTAGCGCATCAACGAACTGGTTGGCGTGGTTACCGGTGAAAATGATGGGGCCTTCGGCCGGCACGTTGCTCTGTCCGATAATATCCACCTGGTACATGTTCAAAAACATGGTTGGGAAATAGTATCAATTTGACATCTTCCACGACCCGGCGCCGAAAGACTAGACAAAAACATAATCCAATACCTACTTTTAACTCAAGAAGTATGCATACAACCTTTAACGTTCGTCATCGCCGTGCCAAATATTGATACATTTTGGACGGTGGCGCACAACGATGTTCAACGTGCATTTGCTACTTCAGAACAACTGTGGCTCCCGAGCGATAGCCTACCCCGACCGCCTTGTGGAAGGTACAGCAGTACCACATGGACCACGGGCCCTCATCAGTCCTGGCGAGAACAAGCAAGCTGATGCTGCCGCGCCCGCCTCCAACACATGGCCTACCCATGTTTCTCGTATTTGTCTTCCTTTTCTTGAACCGTGGCGCCGTGGACGTTGCTGCTATCCCCCAAGTTTGTGTGAAGCCTATGTACTACCGCTGAAGTGATGTAGTGATACATTATGCACCAGGGTTTTACATCTTTGACAAGAATTACCGTATATGACATGAGATAACACACCCCCTAGACCGATTTTCAAAGCTCGATTACTCCACCAACAAGAGGATGCATAAACGAAATGATACATTTTCGAAAAGCAGTCGACGAGACGGTTTTAACGCCGCCGTTTTCGGCGCTGTGACTGTCCCTGCAGTTGAGAAATCGAGCTCCGAAAATCGGTCAAGGGGGTATGTTATCTTGTGTCATAGACGGTATACGTAGTCTAAGAAGGAATGCAGCGATGACATCAGCGATCTCTTGCATTTGCGACTTGAGAACGATCACCGAAGACCTGCAGCATGCACATTCACATCATGTACCTGGTGCGCATTCGCTCAGTTCACACACCTTGTTGAAAAAGATGCTGATGATTGAGCTGAAGAAGATTCGGACCGAAAAGTACATGATGTCAGCGAACTGCGTCGCGATGAGCGACACCAGCATGATCGTAAAGGGCACCGCAAACAACCTCTGGTCCATTCGCAGCGACCAAGCCATGATCTTGATGGGACTGGGCACGGACACAACAGAGGCGTATCAAGTAAACAGGATGAGGAGCATACCCAAGGCTGCTGCACTTGAAGGCCGGCTGGAAGCGTTACACAGCAGTAAATAGTGGTACTTGAGTAAACTGCAACAACGGGGCGTCAAGACGTTGCAATCCCTTCAGGGCTGGTAAAGAGCCAGCCTGAAGCGTATGCTATTTTCATTTTCGAGATTCAATGTGGCATGGCAGGCTGCATACATACGTACCTGTAGCCCTGGAGGGCATGAAGCGCGCGTGTTCAAAATCGTACTGCACCAGAAAAATAGAACATCAACAGCCGATGTCAAACGATCCGACAAAGCGATAAGCGCGTTATTGTAGTGAGGCTGAGCTGCAAGTGCCTTCGTCGAGATAAATGAACACCCCTGAAATCTCCGTACGTTGCTCGCTCACTTGAGGGTGTCGATCGCCAACATGATTCCACATATCATCCAACCTGCTTGCGCCTGAGTTTGTGATATCTGAGCCATAAAGGCGGGAGCATAGAGCTTGACCATGGTGCTGGATGCATGCACGAGCCAGCAGCGCGCGCGTGTAGCCCTGCTCTCTGGGCTTGATTGCGCACGCAGAAACGCGGTGTTGGGGGGCACGCGATTATGGGATCGAACGAACGGGGGCGGGGATCTACTGCTTGGATGTCAGACGTGAGTGTATCCGACAGCCGAAATGGAAACCAAACGCGAAAATCTTCGCAACTCTGCTCTCCGGATCCGATCCGCCTGGTTGTATCTCTCTCGTCCACGTTCACACATCCCAGTGGAGAAAACGCAGGATGGCATCGAGACAGGGCGATGGAACTCTTCATTTAGAGACTTCAGCGTTGCACCTAGAGCTGAGCGCAGCTCTCAAGGCGAGTGCGTTTCAGAACCTGGTGCCGCGTATCTTTGCACACTGCCATCCTTTCGCCCCTTCCAAACACATGTAAGGTGTCTTGTCTCTGTCTGTGGCATTCCACATGCAAAACAAGTCGGGTGAATATTAACTGCTTTGCCTACCTCCAGTGCGCGCCACTACTCAATGTTCCGTGTGACTACCCCACTGTAAGCAAAATGTTGTTCGTGTTCTACAGCAGTGCTGCTGACGATTTTATCCGAGTACTGGTGTGCATCCGGCAGTACATGGTTGTCGACGAATTCCTGTACATGCAATTACACATGGTAGTGTAGAACGTGTGTACTACAAAAATGAGCGGAAGATAGCCATTACGGTAGATCGTGGTTACATTCTTGCTCTTTGTAGTACTTTTTTGGGTCAATTATCGTCCGTTCATCGTGTATTATGTTTTTTAGGAGGATGTGAGCCGGAAGAAGACGGACGAGATGAAAAAACGAGCCATTCATACGGCAGCAAGCTACGACGAATTCAGGCACATGGTCTCGTGCGCTCAGCTAAACCCTGTCACGTAAGACCTACTTGTGCTGTCGGACCCTGGACCGGCAAGGGCACGCCAACCAATCTGTCAGCGACTTTTGCGCATGGAAGGAAACGCGATAAGACTACATTTACTGCAGGGTGTGTGAGTAAACTTGGTACTGCTGCAGTTTGCCGCTGCAGTTTCCTGCTATAGACTACATTATTACCACTCACCCACATCCGGTATGGGGAGATGATAGCCCACGAGGCTTTCTGCGACGAAGCCACTCGATGGTTCCAGAGAAAGACGAAGCGAGCCCCTAGCGCGTATTGTGTATGGGAACAGGGGCCTGTGTGGTTTGTGGGCACAACTACGTATATACTTAGTATCTCATCAACCTTTCGTTGCCACCTCGTTGTTTGCGGCAGGCGCAAAGAGATGGAAATGCTCTCGGACCCCAAAAGGGGTTGGCAAGGGCGAGTTGGTGGTGTCGCCCCCACCACGAACGTTTCAGGGAGGATTGGCCGACAGAAAGCGCCCAGAAGAACACAACGCTCTGTCGACACTGCACTCAGGGGCGGGGCGAAGGCAGGCCCTTTGCGCGCCCCGAAAGACCATGCGCAGTTCCAGCGGGATTGGCGAAGGCGGTGCCGCACCAACGGCGAACGGCGCGACTACCTTCGCCTAGTTGGCCCCAAGAACGCATCAGCATTGTTTCGCGTTGAGATGGAACCGGACGTTCTGGGACAAGTGATATCGGTGGTATGTGAAGAGTTCCCATTTCAGCCGCAACGGATTGACGCTGCCACGCCGGCAACGCAAGAGAACGAGGAACGGTCTGGTGCTCCAACAAGAGGAGACGCGGCTGGCAGTACTGCCATAACTGCAAACGGGAATGCCTCCGCAGATGAAGCTGGTGCAAGGTTGTGCTTGGAGTGGCTTCGGGCACTATCTAGGACGGGCCGGTTTGCGGTGAACATCCTGTTCTTGGCGGACAATGAAAAACAAGCGTTGGCGCGAGCGTTCGATCTGACAACTGCCGTTTTTGGTGATGAGGAAATTAGCAGCCTGCGGAAGGCTTACGCAGTGTAGACATATCGTTCGTCGTCGATAAAACTACGAATGTCTCACGAAGAATTAATTTTGATGTGTCGTGCAATGAAGCTTGCTCAAGGATTGTGGCACTGCACTCGGCTGAGAGTTCCGTTCCACGCCAAATCTTGGCGGCCGCCAGTTTTCACCGGCAAGTCTACGAGTTTACTCCCTCTCTTCGAGAAAATGAACGTACAGTACATCTGATTGCTTCGTTCCGGTATCTGGACTGCCGACCTCCATGGCGATAACATCCTCCAGTTCTCCTTGAGTAGATTAAAAAAAAAAAACACCCACTGGCACAGCGTGCTTATTACCTCCCCCCAGGGAATTTCCTCCCCGGAGTATTCATTTCTTCCTTCGAAGACCACCCCCCCATCCTGAATAACCTCCCTCGGCCAGCTAAAAGGAGAGTGCAAGTGGTCGGCTTTCTCTCTCCAATGACTCCGGGCCGCAACTAGAAATAGACCAAACTGCGCGCGCAACAAGCAAATACCCCTCCCATAACACTCCGTCCTATTGCTCCACTGTTAGTCAAGGTTGAGCTGAACTCCTACAACGCAACATGTATGCCACTACTGTATCATCACATCACGTTCGTCGCCCGACGTACTCTACTGTTCGCGCTTGCCACGCCCGACTCAAGACCAATTTTTCGATCCCGCTAGTAGGGCCGGTTGTCTTCGCGAACACCAATGCGGCGTCCATCAAGGTCTGTGCCGTCGAGCTGGTTGATGGCATCAGCAGCATCTTGTTCCGATCCGAAGCGCACGGTTGCATATCCTTTCGAGCGGCCTTGTGCGTCCTCGGGGATCTCCACGAATTGCACCCTTCCACACTGCTTGAAGTGGTCCTTGAGGCTCTGCCACCCCGTCTCCCAGCTCACGTTTGAAACATGAACCTGACGTCGCTCTACCCCTTCATGCAGCTGACCCATTCGTTTGCTCCCGGTGGGTCCCTGCCGAGCACACACAAAGAGAGGCATAGAGGTCATCCGTAGGTTTGCACGAAAGTGTGGTCGGCAAACACAAGAGATATCTCCCTCCCTTGCGAACCTTTCTCAAATCATTTGAGGCCAGCAAAGACGCCCGACCACTACTCCTGTACCGTGGAAACAAAAATTAACCCGCCCCAGGTCCCACCTCTTCACGGTCCTCCCTCACGAAAATCAGACGCCCCAAGAGTTCTGTGTCGTGTAGGTCCCGAATGGCGTTGTGCGCTTCTTGAGGCGTTTCGTACTCCACCACGGCACATCCCTTGGACCTGCCGCCAGGCTCTTGGAACAAATCGACGAACTTTACGTTGCCGGCCGCTCTCATGTGATCCTTCAGGTCTTGCCATTGGCATTCCCAGCTCAAGTTGCCAACATAAACCTGAATCATGGAATCGTGCGGTCGCCCACAACAAAAACAACAGGAATAAGTTACGATAACAGGTATTGACACAGACTACTTGGGGAGATCTCGTACAGAGTTCGGTCCACAGACCTACTGATTCGAAGACCGAACGACTTAGTTCGAGAGTCGAACAATACACAGAGTGGCTACAGGTGGGGTAGATCGCTTCAGCCCACAATGTTTGAGTGCGCTGTGTACCTTGGCACCAGCAGCCCCGCCCACTCCGCGTCCGTGGTTTCCAGCATCTCCTCGTTCTTCCCTAACTTGGATTGGCCGCCCCAAAAGCTCAGTTTCGCTGAGCTGGCTGATAGCAGTCCTTGCCTGCATGTAGATGAGCATCGAAAGAGTACACAACGTCAATGACGTTGCCATGATCTTCCCTTCGCGCGGTCCCACAGCAGTGCGTGAGCACTTGGAGCCGGTGCCCGAACCAAGAGCATTCGAGCCGTTTATCTCATGGAAACATTACGGCATTTGGAGGGCACAACCCCCGACAATCTTCTGCCGTCAACAACTTTACCCTGACACAGCAGACCTTACTCGTCTCAACAGCTTTACCTCGTAGGGCTTGGAGAACTCCACGATTCCGAGTCCTTTACTGCGACCGTCGGGGCCGACAAAAACATCGGCCCTAATCACCGAGCCGGCGTTTTTCATGTGGTCTTTGAGATCTTGCCACTGGACGTCGTATGCCAGGTTGCTCACGAACACCTATAGGTCCAGGCGCCACATCAAGGGATGACAGACAAAGAATTTGGATGTTGACTTGATTTTGCAAACAAACGCAAGAGCACCAGAAAATGCACAACAGACTCACATGACCAGTCGGAAGGCATCGCGAAAAACAGAAATTGTTGATTCTCGCACAGGGCGGCAGCAGAGGCTGCTCAAAACATACAGTTCACGCGTCTACCTTCACACGCCTCCCTTGAAATCTAACCCTTTGGGGAGCCACAACGGCAGGCGCTCAACTAAGGTCGGTGTTGCGAATTAGCTGTTGCGTTCAACTGTCATCAGTAGAGGACACCATGAAGAGGCGTCGTGTGTGCTGGCGCGCTCAAATCTGCTTCGGTGGCGGTGATATCGAGGGTCGTAGTAAATAGTGGCCTACATATACAATCTTTGCAGATTAGACCGACACCCAGTCTCTTTGCTGCTTGTGCTCGCCGCCACTGACCCCAATCTCCTAAACTGGGGTAGGCTGATTGCCACTAGCTACTGCTGACAACCCTCCGTTCACGTTGACAGGTTTACAGACCGTGGCGGCAAGCACGGCTGTGACAAATGTTGGATTCCCGCTTGGTTCCGGCGCAGATATCCGGCTGTTTTCAGAGGCTGCTATGCATACGACCTTCGATATTTCAGCTCCAGTAGCAAACCTGAACGTGCCAGCACGTACGACGTCTCATGGTGTATTCTACTGATGACAGTAGAACGCAGCAGCAAACCCCGGCGGGAAGGTTTTCTTTCTTTGAATTGGATTCGAGTTTCAGAAAATAGCCAGCGTCAAAATCACTTGTTCTTCCACCCCTTGACGCGATGGGTGCTTGGGGTTAGGTGCTAAGTTGAGTACGTCGACAGTCACAAACTACGCGGCCAAAACTACACAGCAAAATTGATCGTGTCGTCCTGGAATCTCTTTGTGAAATCTAACTTGACACCTTGCAGTTGGCATTGCCCCCGCCATTGAAGCCCCCGCCCCCGCCCCCGCCCCCGCCACCGAATCCGCCGCCACCACCAAAGCCTTGCTCCTCACGGTCTTCCCTCAGGTAGATCTGCAAATCGCGGACATCCACGATGTGATGTTGTGAGCATGAGCTGGGAGAGAACTGTACCAGTGTTTACTGGTCCTACACGAAGCCTACGAATCTGCGCCAAGCTCTCAACATACTCATCAGACCAAACAACTCTCACCGGGCGCCCCATCAGGTCGGTGTCCTGAAGCCTGTCGATTGCATCGCTGGCAGCGGCAGCAGTAGTGAATGTCACCAACCTGAATACAGTATTTGCCGAACATGCGGTATCAAGGGCAACCGTTGCTAGTGCGCTTCACACATACCGGTCGACCCACATGAGGCAATGGAACAAGAAAAAAACGAACAACACCAAAGCTACGAGAAACAACTCAACGATCCCTTACCCGCGCCGGCGTATGAGGACTCAATGGCGTGACTCCCGTCATTTCACGGTTTCGTTTACTTCGCTGCCACGTTCCCCTTTTCAGATCGAGGGGCATACATCCAGGTGCTGGTTCATAAAGTGCGACGGGTCCATTCACCGGCGGCGCCTTCCGTGTCCCGCCTCTCTCTGCCTGTAATCGCCATCACACCAACCCCAAACCCATCCTGTCACCATACCCCGTTCGACCATCTTCCTTCCTTCCACCTCAAACATCAAATCAACAACCCGCATTGGCCAACCACCACCTTCACCACCCCCTTCCCTATGGAAACATCCGGGAAGTAGCACCCACCCGTAGCCCTTTTGAACAGCAAACAGATGGACGAGTGAAGAGCATGAGAAGCGAAGGAGCGCGCC